AAAGAAACCCCAGTATTTCCTTCTTCTGTTTGAGAGAGATTCCAGTTTTAATACCTTTTTAATCAAAGCAGCAATCTGACAGATTCTCAGTTTGGCTGATTTCAGATTACTGAACATCTTGGATGAAATTTGTAATGCCCTTTAGATTATTTAATTTCTGAAACAGCTTAATTCTAATCCTGCTCATTGTTAAAAGCACTTGGGTACCTCTGTGCTTTTCCTTTTGAATAATGGGATTTGTGTTCCTGAAATATATTGATTGTGAAACACATCACCCTTGATGCCTCTGTACCATGTTCCTTGATTCAATTCATAAAGCACCTCTTGTTTTTGAGGGTAATATGAAAGTCAGTGTTTAAAAGTGTTTAATTGAATGGTGACAAGCTATAGCTCCTCATTTACTTTATGTGATACAAGAATAAATTATGAGCATGAGAGTTGAAAGGACCTTGTGGGTCACTGAGTTCACCCCCAGTTCTGCAAATGAATGTGCATGTCTGACAAGTGTATGGTTTTAAGTAATCTAAAAATATAAATGCAAATCCACAGTAAACAGAACCTAATCTATGCACAGAGGTTTCTGTTACACTCATGTGCTCTGCCATGGGTTCAGCCCTGGTATTCTGGTCACAGCCAGTAAATAGAGAGACAGACACCCACTGACAGATGAAAACTCTGCTGGCTGTCACACATGATGGCTGTTAGCTAGTGGGCAGCAACACATCCTCATCCTCATCCTCATCCTCATTCTCATTCTCATTCTCATCATCCTCTCTCGTGAGTAAGGACAGTCACACCTCAAGTGTAGACTTTCTGGTCAGCATATTTTGAGTCCCCTAGTGATCACCCTCATTTTACTCCAGAGAGAGAAGTGAATGAATCCACCACCCTTGTAGCTCATTGTTTTTTTATCAAGCAGTGGTTAACAGGGTTACTGTCTTCTCCAGCCCAGCATTTAAAAGATGAAGAATGTGTTTTGTGCCCTTCTTGGGCATAGAGGACATTTTGAGTTGTGGAGATCAGGCTCTGAAAACAGGTGATGCACTGATAATTTGCATGAACCTAATTCTACTTCAAGAGAACCCATGTAACTCTGAGGTACATTACCTTAAAAAGAGAATAAGTTTAAATGAAAAAAAATTACTAAGCCAGTGTATAAAGAATAAAAGTGAAATTAGAAAGTCCAGGATTTGGAATGCTTCAATATTAAGAAAAATTAGCATTCAAGCTCCAGTATATCTTTAAGTTCAACTACTTATGAAGTGCAGCTAAATTACTATTCCACTCCGCTACAAAAATCTCATGCCAGAGTTTAAAAACTGTCACAGGACCTGTGTCTCAAATGGAGGACTGCTTTACTTTTATCTGCAGTTTCTTGTGTCTTTCTTTTGTTCTGTGGGTTTTTCTCATCTGGATTCTTGGCTGCTCTGGTAACTGGGGTTGGTGAATATGAAATAGACTTGCTTTTGCCTAAGGTATCACTTAAAAAAAAANCTGGGATAAGGACGCAGCTCATTCCCATTTTCCTGCTTTTCAGAACTCTGCCATTCCCAAAAATCCCCCTTTGCRCCCGAATCCTCTTTTCCCAAAAATATTTTGTCCCAAATCAGTTGCTTTGAGGAAGAGCTTTAACAACAGGGTTATTTTTTTTTTTTTTTTTTAGATTTAAAAGCAACAGAATAAGTTTCAATGCTGCCATAAAATTTAATTTGTTTTATTGAATTTTCTGGTTTCATTTCATTGTAAATGAGAAATTAAGCAGTTCTGCTTTATCTGCAAACGCAAAGGCCGAGTTTCAAATTCATGAGAATAAGACTGCACAAATACTCAAAAGATGTCGCAGTCATCTTCAAATATTCATTTTCCCATGGAATGTAGTCTCTTCAGGAAGAAATCAAACTCCAGTCAAAACCCCAAAATTAATTAAACAAGTGCTTTGTGCACAAAGGAACTTTGTGTTTGCTGTAGAGTGTCATATGATGGAAAAGCACATGAGGGTCACCCCAAGGATTATATGATCCAGAATGAAACACTGCATGAATGTCCTACATGAAAAGCATGTCAGACAAGCACCATGTATTTGCAAAGCCTTGGCTTTTTGGTCTCCAATGTCTCATAAAATCTAGAAGAGGTTATTCTTACTCTCATTAAATTTATCTTTCCTGGACAGGCAATGGTAATCTTCATTGAACTGCAAAGCCTACAATGAAGGAGAAGTGCTTTGTATTGAGAGAGCTCTTCTTGTAACAGAATTTTAATGCAATATGACAGGCAATTTTTTTTTGTTTTGGAGAGATAGAATATTTGTATGAACATTGCTCACAACTCACAGTGCATTTATTGGCCCTTTCCTCTTATCCTTGCACACATGTGCATTAGATATCAAGGGATTGAAAATAACAAAAACAAGCGCAAAATAAAGACCACATTCAATGGATGCTGCCCAGTGCTTCAAAGCTTAAGAAATCCACTGTATTGGGTACAAAGTAGAATTTGCAGCTAAGATTTAATAAAACATTCAGGTCCTCAGCAAAGTCCAATTAATTGCAGAAAATTTCCAACCAGTTTCTAATGATTTAATAGAATTTTCAACTTCTTTGAGACTTACACTGTGAATAGTAGAAAAGACAGAAATGTTGACAGGGCAGACTTATTTGTGTTATGACTTCCTTCATAAGACATGAAGGGAAACAGCTCAGGTGCCTCAGAGAGGTTAGAAGAAAAGGGCTTAGCAGAGCTGGATATGGATCCACTGCCTGCAACTCAATGAAAGGTTTTTCACTCAATAGTCACAAACTGTCCTGTAAATGATCCCAGGATCATTTTACTCCTCACTGTTTTAAAGGATTGGTTGCCTCTCAGTTCAGGTAGGAAGAAAGTTCCAACATTCAGAGGTGTCCCAGCAATTTCTTTTGCCTTCTAAACCAAATCTGCACTGTTTTGCTCTTTTGCTGTAGTGTCAGACCCCTTTCTTAGTTTTTATACCTTCCAATGACAAGCAGAGCTGCAAAGCAGAGCCCTTCTTTTCTTTGTTGCTTATCCGCTGAAACTTTTGACTCCCCATGAATTCACCTTGGCTGAAGACATGGCTTATTTCCCAGTCCTAAAGAAACAGACACTGGCCCTTTGTTACATTTTTGCTGGTCAAAAGCAATGGCTACAACTTGTGTGAATTGTCGACTCATTCCAGAATTACTAAACTGATTCAGGTCAGGGATACAAATTAAATGCTGAAGATAGCCAGACTGTAGATACTGGGGGCCAAAAATGAAACTGGCCTAATCCTCTAGGAAAAAGAAAACCCAAGCTAAAACCCAAACCAAATCAAAGTGCTGGCTAAGGTGGGGAAAAGAGTTGGACAGAAAATAAATTGGTAATTTTAAAGGATGCTGGTTATTTGGTGTTCCAGGGCTATATCTAACAAGTTTAAATGCTTCAAATAAATCTTGTCTCAGCTTCACCCTTTATAGTGGACTTTGCTTTCATGAGAGAAAAGAACCTGGGAATTTTTCAAAAATTTGTAAGTTTGTTTCTGCTGCTGAATCAACATTATACCTGATAACCTTGCAGCAATGATTGGTGAGCTCAGATCTGTTCTGAAAGTGCTGCAGAGAAGACCCTTCTTATTGTCCTAAAGAACAGGACTAATCTAAGAGAGCCATATCCATTTTTACAGCAATAAATGTCTGAAAACATTAGTTGTGTATTAAATTTGTGTGTATGTATATTGATGCTTTGAGGTAGGATTTCAAAAGAAACAGGTAGCATTTTTAAAGTGACAGGAACTCCAGAAATTGGTTCATTACTGATAAATCTGCTTTCTTACTGTGGTTTACCATACAGTTGATCTAGAACAGCTACTTCTTTTTAAACCTGGAATGATTTGTCCATGGAAATAATTTTAGGAATGTCACTGCAAAACTGCTTTTCCGTTCCATTCCATTCCATTCCATTCCATTCCATTCCACACTATTGAAGTGCTCAACAGTATATTTCCATATCAATGCCTGCATCAACATGGGATATTTCAGGGGGAAGGTAAAGAGCAATGACAAACTACTGGTTGATAAAAAGTAGACTAAAGCCTAACATAGGTAACTTCTCTTTTTATTGTTTTGCAGTTTTTTTCCTGAAGTTTAATGCCCTTGTGAAGACCATTTTACATGGTTTTGTGCTTTCAGAGATAGATTGCTTAATAGGCACTTCTAAGCTTAATACATTTGTTTTTCTTGGTATTATTTACTCCTTGTGATGAGAAGTTGGGATCTTAAATCTCAGAAATATGAGCCTCACCTGAAGTGGAAGGAGCACTTCACCAAGGCTGCAAAGGAGAGCATCGCCCTCCAACTCACCTGCAATCCCTCCTACCTACCACCTCCTACTCCCTGTCCAGGCACGGAGTATGTCAGGTGGGCCTACGGGTATGACTATTTAAGAAGTTCCTTTTTGTCCCACGACAATATTCGTATCTGAATTGCTCTGCCACATACATGGAAGAACAGTAGGTCAGTCAGAGAAGCCATCCGCAGCCCAGTGTCTCTCCTGGGCCTCAACATGTGTCCCACAGCCACCCCCAGCAGCTGCAGCGAGAAGCTTTGGGCTCCAAGGGCAGCAGCCGGTGTAGAGCCTGTAGCCCTTAGGTTTCCTTTTCTATTCCTTGTGACGTGATTTTGGGCTTCGCGCTGGGTTCGTCCTCTTTTTTATTGAATTGACCCGTAAGCACCTTCCCTGCGGCATGAGCGGTGAGGGGCTTGGGCGGCGCCCCTTGCTCCCAGCAGCTGCATCGCGGAGCCCACCGGTTCACTTGGTGGGGAGTGGGATATGGCCCTCGGATAGCCCAGAACGAGTCTGGTTCAGCGGGCGCTCCTCGCAGCGCTACCCAGGGGCCACACAAGCGGCGGGCGCTGCTTCCCCAGGGCCGGGCGGTAAGGGGCAGGAAAGGGTGTTCCCCACCTCCCCCTAGCCCCCATTCCCGGCCCTAGGGAGGGGCCAGCCCCGGCGGGTGCGCCCTTTCCCCGCCGCCGGCCCCAGGCCGGGAGCAGCACCTGGTCCCACGGCAGCCGGCCTGGGGCCCCTCCGGCGTGTCCCGCTGCCGCCTGGACCGAGCCGAGCCGGGCCGGGCCGGGCCGGGGGCGCCTCCCGCCTCCGCCGCCTTCAGGGGCGCCGCGTCCCGCTGGCGGCGCCTCATGGCGCGATGCAGCTGCAGTAGGAGGGAGAGGAAACCCACCCCCTTCGCCCGCCGGCCGCCTTTGTAACCGCCCGGCCCAGCTCAGCGCGCAGCGGCTCGGGGAGCGCCGGAGCGCGGCGGTGGGACCAGATGGAGCCGGAGGGTAAGGCTGCGCCCCGCGCTCCGGTCGCGATTCCGAGGGAGCCCCGCTCTGGCCCGCCAAGTTCTCGGTGGAGGCTGCGGCGGCCGCGGGGAGCCGGGCCAGGAACGGGGCGGCGCAGGGGTCCCGGCGGGCCGCGGGGTCTCTGCGGCGCAGGCGAGGGTAGACTGGTTCCCGGGCCAGCCCCTCTCCAGGTGTGCCGGTCCCCCCGTCGCCACCTCCCTCCCTCCCTCCCCTCCCCTCCCCTCCCCGCGCTGGCCGGCGGGCGGACGCTGCCCCGCGCGGTCCCTCCGGCTCCGCTGGCGCCAGGGCCCCGCACCGCCCGCGCCCTCCGCGGGGAGCCCGGGGGTCGGGCTGCCTCATCGGGGTGAGGCGGGGGCCCAGCGGAGCGGAGCAGACTGCACAGGCCCGGGGGCACGTTCAACTAACTTACTTTAATTGATTTTTTTCTTTTCGTTCCCTGCCCCCGCGAGCGGCCGGCGCGGTTCTGATGCAGACCCATCGCCAGCGGAGCCGGCCCGCCCTCCGCAGGCCCGACCCGCGGCTGGCTGCGCTCCCCACGGCCCCCCAAGCGCCGGCTGCGAGCTCACCCCGAGCTGCCCCTGCACACACACCCTGGACCCGGCTCCCTGTGCGCCGCACAATGGCCAGGGAATCCATGTTTGAGTAAATGCAGCACTGAGTTGTGTAAATACATTTTTAGCTCTCCTAAAACCACACCAAATCAGTAAGACTGCTATTAACTGTATAGATTAAATTTATTTCCTGCCAATCCATATTTATGCACTTAGGAAATGTTGAGGTATTTTTTCCTCTCTCCTTTTTAAACATCTTTTGGAACTGTTAGTACTCTAAATGTAAACCATTTCCAGTTGCTAACTGGAAATCTCTGAACCATAATGGTCTGTTATATTTAGCTGGCTGTCTCTGTAACACCAGCATTCTCCTGAAAAAAAAGGAAGGGTCTTTAGAAAAGCCCTTATGAGATTCATGTTTGGAAAACTGGAAACATGTATCATAGCTGTTTTTTAAACCTCAATACCTATGTCACATTTTCCATTCCAGATATTAAGAGTGGTTTAACTATGTTAAAGGGTTATACTCTACCTTAGTTCCATTGCAAGCTTTAGGGATTTTTAACACAAAGGAAAATAGCTCTGCAACATAAAAGAATTCTGCAGTGCCTGATACAAAGTGGCACCAAGGAGTGGGAGAGACTACTGGCAATTGTTAATGACCAGAATTGGTTTTGTTGAGAAGTGTGCAGAATGGAAAGGGGTTATATATGGTGACCAATGCATTGATAAAAATATTCTTGCATTCTTTAGAGGAAATTTATTTTTCATAGAAAGCTGTTTTTCACAATGCTAGGAGGATGTTTTAGAGCTCTTACTCCAACTAGCAGCACTGTGTTTGTAATATCCCCTGAAACAGACAAGCTGGGTTGTTTCTGATATAGCTAATTTGTGACTAAGTTCTTTTTATTGTATATGTTCTTATCTAGAGAAAAGCTAGAGAAAAAAATGATAAAAATTAGATTGAGTTTGAAGGAGCTCCTTCTTTTGAAGAAATAAATTCTTATTTTTAAAAAGTGCAAGTTTTCTGCCCTGCCTCTTGGTTAGGTAAAGGCTGGATCAACTCAGGAAAGATTGTGGTGAGTTGAAGAGTTGCTGAAGTTTCCCATTTGCCCTTTATCCATAGATATGCAGGCAATCTGATTTCTGGCTCTTCCTGAACTCCTTGGGTCCAATCTTCAGGATATTAATTTTTATAGGCTGGTCTTCTCACATGGGCTGGAGCCTGCTGAAGTAGCTGAAATGCCTCTGTTAGCAGCCTCCTGCTCTGTTAGTGAAGGAACCGGGGTAATTGCTTGTAGATCTGTGCAATACACAACCCACTATATGTGGGTGTTTGTAATTTTCTAACTGTGGTTGATGCTTTTCAGTAAGCATTATTCCTGTTTTCAGAGTCAGGGCACACAGAGTGTGGTGATCTAAGCGAAGTCTGTAGAGTTTGCTTGCTCTTGTGGCTCTGATCTGATGTGCTCTGCTTGCATAGTCCTGGCTGGAATCATTCTTGAATGGAGCTAGAGTGACTGTTGTCCAGTCTCATTTGGTACAGCTTCTTGCATTTCAATGTATGTCTAAAACTTGCTAAAAAAGAAACCAGCACTTTTCTGTTTCCAGAGGACCTTTGCCTCTTACCGAGTGTGCAGATGTAAGGCATGTCAGGTGTCTTCCACAAAGGCAGGGAAGAAAGGCGGGCTTGATACTTCATTTTCTTTTCTTCAGAAAATCCATTGTGGTGTACTAATGCCACAGAAATACTGACCAGCGCAATTCTTGTGGGTGTACCCTCAACTCTAAACATTGGCTGAGGTGATAATGTAGGAGGAGGTTAGGACTGCAGAGTGTCTCGGGGTGCAAGAGAGAACAGTATATTCAAACCAGTAACTACGGTAGAATCATAGTGGTGATGGTCCTCATGGCTTTTTGTGTGGGATGAGTTCTGCAGTGTGATCCAGAATGAGGAAGACTATCTTAGGTCAGTAGTAGTGGAAGTGGGTTGTTGAAACCTTGGGACACCAGGAGGGACAGACTTTGGAAGTCAGATCCCACGTGATGATTTTTCACTCCTGCATTGTTTGCACTGCAGTGTTTTCAAGGCAGTTTTTGTGGCTGGATTTTCCAATGTATTCCAATTGTTTTATCCTCTAAGCTCCCTAATCAGGTTCAATGTGTTTGGTTTTGAGAAAGCTGGTTTGAGAACAAGACTATGTGAGATGGAGCAATGTGGGGAGTGCTGCCCTCTGAAATATGACCCAAAGTCTATCTGTTTCCCACTGGTTTCCAATGAAAAATGAACAGTTAACTTCTGCAAGAGGTTTTGGGAACAGCTTTGTCTTCCCATGTGTCTGTAAGCTCAAAGAACATTGTTCCTGACTCAAGCTTGTCTGTTCCTGCCAACTAAGCTCAATAATTACAGATGCATGTTTTGTTTTTTTTTTTCCAGATTATCTATACCATTTTTTTTTTTTAGGGATTTTGCTAAGATTATAAGGGATCAATAATGTCGATGCAAATGGTCTTGCTTTGGTCAGTGACTGTGACCCAGTGATCTACATGCAAATTGAAAAGACAGGGAGTGTACAGGCAGCAATGATGTGACTAATGCTTTGACTTCTCTGACTGAGCCCTGGTTTCTACTAAAGTTATGAACTTGTGAAATGCCTTTGACTAAGTTTAATTTTCTTCAAGCAGTTTCATTAAAATTTACATTTCAATTTTTAAATTTAAATTTTTTGTTTACTGAAACTTCAATTTGGAACGAAAATAGGTGACTGGTAAAACCTAAGTATTGAGTATTTCTAGCTCCCTGGATACAGATATTGTGTTAGACTTTGATTATGTAGGTGTTAACTTGGTTGAATGGTGTGAACAGTGGCAGATTAAAAGCAGTAATAACTAACAATTTTTTTCAGCCTTAACGAATTTTAATGTGAAATGTGATGTCTTGCTCAAGAGACTGACTATGACTTGTGATTTTTACATAATGATGAATATTGATACTCTTTTGAAAAAAATGTCTCTTGTTCCAAATTCTCTGAACTAGCTGAAAGTTCTTTTTAAGTGAAAAAAAAAAGAATACAACTTCATATATTTCTCAGATATGGAAACAGAGTATATGAGATAAGTTGAGCTAAGATGTGCTTGAGCATGAATGAAAGAGAGGAGAAAGAAAATAGGAGGGAGTATTGTTGAATTCCTCTCCTTGATGTGACAGCTCTCAAGCCATGTTGCATACCTATCACCAGCTCTCAGGGCTCTCATTTTTTTTGTCCTCTGCCAACCCCTTTGAAGTCCCCACTGAGAACTGAGCCTAGCATCCCTGAGCACAGGATCCCAGACCTCCATGGTGAAAATCCATGTGAAATTGAAAATAGATATCTGCAGCTCAGTGTTGCATTCTCTGGAGCATTTGGGAGGCAGTCAAGTCACAGCACAGAACTCTGGCTGGTTTGGAGGTTATAAGCAGTGAAATTTGAGATGCCTTTGTTGGTAGAACAATAGTGAGGCACCTTGGAAAGTGCTTCTAAGGGTACTATTTTCCCCTCCCTCTACTCTCTGCCCTCCCATTCCCAGCCAGCTCCTAAAAGCAAGGGTTAGAATAACTAGATTCGCATTTTGCACTTTGCAATATTTTAAAATTTTATGGGTCTTTGAGTTTCATTTAATAATTTGTGGCTCTTCATTCTATCTGTCCTGGCTATTGTTAGGAGTACTTGGGGGGGTACTACAATACTGGGTGTTTGTTTTATCTGAGTACCTGGTGAGTGCTGTGCCCGCCTGTGCAGRGATGTGCTGGTGCATGGTGTCCCCTCCTGTGACGTTAATTGGAGTGATAGCCTCATGCTCATCTCCACTGCCTTGGTGGTGTGGCTGGTGCTTTTTCTGGCAATAGTCACCACGTGCTTCTATAAGAAATACCCAGCTCTGCAGTTGTGGCCTGGCTTCTCAAGGTTAACTTGTTGAGTTTAAGTGCCATTATTTAAAGCACATTACCTCCATGGTCCATGACAATTACTGCACAAAATGCTGTTCTCCCTGCCTTTTCTTCTGGTTTTTCGACTTTTGTTGCTATTTTTGTCTTTCTGGGAAATGCAATTGAATTTCAGAGTTTATTGGTATTACCTGATTCCTTATTTTCTGGTTTGCACTGTTCTTGTTATTTCCCAGGGTTAAGACCCTTGTGTGGGACAGAAAGCCAGTGATTTAACTGCTGTGAGAGGGCTAGATTAAGAATTGAGGTGGAAGATTGAGAAGAAGAGCTTGTTTACATGGCCTCAAGTCATCTCATGCAGGACTCTCTGCAGGATCCTTGAGGGGCTCAGCAAAGAGAGTTCATCAACTCTTCATCCATAGTCCCTCCATTAACAGAGGAATGAAATTCCTACCTTGCTACCAAGCTGTTTGATAATCGTTCAGATAAGGGCGCAATGCTTT